CATGGCCAAGACCAAAGAGCTTTCGAAGGACACCAGGAAAAGTATTGTAGACCTGCACCAGACTAGGAAGAGTGAATCTACAATAGGCAAGCAGCTTGGTGTGAAAAAATCAACTGTGGGAGCAATCATCAGAAAATGGAAGACATACAAGACCACTGATAATCTCCCTCGATCTGGGGCTCCACGCAAGATCTCATCCCGTGGGGTCAAAATGATCATGAGAACGGTGAGCAAAGATCCCAGAACCACACGGGGGGACCTGGTGAATGACCTGCAGAGAGCTGGGACCAAAGTAACAAAGGTCACCATCAGTAACACACTACAACGGCAGGGAATCAAATCCCGCAGTGCCAGACGTGTTCCGCTGCTGAAGCCAGTGCATGTCCAGGCCCGTCTGAAGTTTGCCAGAGAGCACATGGATGATACAGCAGAGGATTGGGAGAATGTCATGTGGTCAGATGAAACCAAAGTAGAACTTTTTGGTATAAACTCAACTCGTCGTGTTTGGAGGAAGAAGAATACTGAGTTGCATCCCAAGAACACCATACCTACTGTGAAGCATGGGGGTGGAAACATCATGCTATGGGGCTGTTTTTCTGCCAAGGGGACAGGACGACTGATCCGTGTTAAGGACAGAATGAATGGGGCCATGTATCGTGAGATTCTGAGCCAAAACCTCCTTCCATCAGTGAGAACTTTGAAGATGAAACGAGGCTGGGTCTTCCAACATGACAAGGATCCAAAACACACCGCCCGGGCAACAAAGGAGTGGCTCCGTAAGAAGCATTTGAAAGTCCTGGAGTGGCCTAGCCAGTCTCCAGACCTCAACCCATAGAAAATCTGTGGCGGGAGTTGAAAGTCCGTGTTGCTCGGCGACAGCCCCAAAACATCACTGCTCTCGAGAAGATCTGCATGGAGGAATGGGCCAAAATACCAGCTACTGTGTGTGCAAACCTGGTAAAGACCTATAGTAAACGTTTGACCTCTGTTATTGCCAACAAAGGTTATGTTACAAAGTATTGAGTTGTATTTTTGTTATTGACCAAATACTTATTTTCCACCCTGATTTACCAATAAATTCTTTACAAATCCTACCATGTGGATTCATGGATTTTTGTTTCACATTCTGTCTCTCACAGTTGAAGTGTACCTCTGGTGCAAATTACTGACCTCTGTCATCATTTGAAGTGGGGGAACTTGCACAATCGGTGGCTGACTAAATACTTTTTTGCCCCACTGTATTGTGGGGAGCAGCATATCTCAAAGGCACAAAGTTCCCACCCCTGTGTCACTGGCAAAATAATTCGTGTGTATTCCTCCACATAAATGAAATAAATAAATAAAATGAAGCAAACTGTTACTTGCATGAGTCTCATTATAGTGAGACAGCTGGATACAAACCCTACACGATCCATTGGATTAAATTAGACTGAAAGTTGTTGATTAAAATTTCTAAATGGTTTTTTAAGAAACTGTAGCACTTAATATAGCAAAAAGCCATCAGACTGTTGTTATCCTGGCTCTGTGGAAAGCAGATAAACAGCTCAGGTCTTCATAAGAAAAGCACCTAAATGTGAATCTGTGACAGTTGCTGCAATTATCAAATTCAAATCCTTGGATGAAATGGATCAAGTTTCATTTAAAATGATGGATGTCTGTGTCCAGATCAGTATCTGACTGCAGTTTGCTTTTGCTGAAGATAATTTTCGTTGTTGCGTTGCTTTTTTTGGCACAGCTGCAGCTTTGCTTCATGGCCGATGTTGCAATGCCATAAATTTCAAGCTTAATTTAAATACATGTTTATCACACTTACAAATAAGCCCAGCGGAGACAAGTCACGGATGAAAGGCTAAATGCTGTTTTTTATCCATCAGAGATATTTGATTGATTTGCTGATGGGAAGTTTTTGACAGATGTTTAAATACTGTTACAGTTACTTCTCAAGGCAACGTAGACCCGGGTGAGGTGGCTTCAAAATAATATTGCATTATATCAAGGTGTTTTTGTGCAAGCAGTACTTTGAGCAGTAGGGTTTAAGGATCATTATTTAATTTTTACCACAACATGTACTAATATAATGTCCTGTCAGATAGCCTTGTTGGACTGGACTGGTTCTTTTATACCTGAGCCCTCACAATGCTTTACGCACCTTTCCTTTCATACAGTCCCAATCAAAAGTTTAAGATCACTTAAGAAAGGTCAAAAATCACATTTTGATCTTTTTGATTGAGCTTCAACATGCAACAAGAAGAAATGGGAGTGAGACAAAACACTTTTTGAGCATGCAGTTTACTGAAAACAGTGCTTACACTGAAACAGGCTGTTTTACAGCTGATCAAAAGCTTAGTACCACGTGCGCTGGCAAAGGTCGGCAGCCTATTAGCCTGGGACTAATAAAGGTTATCTTAACTAATCTTATCTTTACAAGGCCAAATCTGTGCAAAAATGTGGATTCAGTATACATATGTGCATAGAAGTATTTACCAGGGAAATTCAATTAAAAACAGGTTCAAAGTATTCCTTGTTTTTATTGGAAATATGGAAAAATCTAAAAGCTAAGAACTGTATGTGTCAAAGATAATAAACCCTACAACTGTGAGAAAATGTTTTTGGCAGAATGAGCTGGAGTAACTTCCTGTCACATTATTTAAGGCTTCCATGAGACTCTTCTCATCTTTGCCTCACTGCAGTTTGTTATCTACACAGATTCTTTCTCAGCACTTCATGGACTGGTGTTTGTCTTGGCGTGCAGTGTAAACTGTGGGAGCCTTTATACACAGGTGTGTGGTTTTCTAAACAATGGCAGTTCATGTTGCTGCAGGTTGACAGTAGTTTTGCAGAACAATTATTATTTGAGGTCTTGGTGATTCGCAATTCATGGAGTAATTCGGATTTCCACTCAGTATGTGTGTATACACCTCTCTGCATTTAATCTCTGTCTCTTCCACAGCATGTCTTTATCCTGTCTTCCTTCTCTCACCCCAAATGGTCACAGCAGATGGCCCCGCCCCTCCCTGAGCCTGGTTCTGCTGGAGGTTTCTTCCTGTTAAAAGGGAGTTTTTCCTTCCCACTGTCACCAAAGTGCTGCTCATAGGGGGTCATATGATTGTTGGGTTTTTCTCTGTATGTATTATTGTACGGTCTACCTTACAATATAAAGCACCTTGAGGTGACTGTTGTTGTGACTTGAGTGAGTCACTGGTAGGTTCACAACAATACTCATGCTATTCCTCTTCAGTGTCACTAGATGGCGTAGTAATTCCATTAAATGGAAGGTTATGCCAGTATTGTAGGCTGGGATGTAGCTGCTCGGCCATGAAACTCTCCACCAAGTGAAGTTTAGAGGTCTGTAGCGATCGACCTCTCTGCACTATGCACCTCCCTTTGTGATTTCACGTGGCCTACCACTTTGTGGCTGAGTTGCTGTCATTTCTATTTGCTTCCACTTCATTATAATACCTCTAACAGTTGACTGTGGAATATTTAGTGAGGAAATTTCACAGCTGTACTTGTTGCACATGTGGCATCCTGTCGACTTCACTGAGCTCCGGAGAGTGCCCCACATTTCTCTCACAAGTGTTTGTAGAAGCATTCTGCATGGCTATTATCACTCCTGGTTCAGGAAAGATCAGAAACATACAATACTTTGTAGTTGCCTTGTTATGTTCCTGATCTCTTCCTCGTAATTATTTTTTACAAATGATGCAGTTGTGCTCATGCTAGATTTTCATACAAAGGCTGAAATAATTCAGTTTATTTGTCAAAACATGTCATAGAAAAGTATGTATGACATGTTTACATTCACCATGTACAGTAACAAAAACTGATCAGTGCAAGAACCAATGAGGAAACGTTTATTTCATTAAAGGAAAGCTGACTGCCCGTTAAAACAAATGGGAAATATTCTGTATGTTCTGAAATGGAAAGTTCTACACCTGTTGCAGTATTGTTACTCCAGCTCTTTGTGCTTTCTTTGGATTGTTACCTTGAGCTCCCACTCTGTTGTTTTTGGTCCCACTGTGTTTTAGTCTACCGATGAGAAGTAAATAAGAGAAGCCAGGTGCTAAAAAATAACCCTTAGACTCAAACGTTAGAACAGGCTTCTCCCCGCAGCACGCCGTGTAATAAATACAAAGAAAACGGCGCCGTTACAACTTATGTCTAAAACTGTATCGTTTCATGCGTCGGTTAAAACACTCGACTCCAGCTACACGACGCCCAGCTGGAAACACTTCACACAAGTCGAGCTGCCCGAGATTCACAGACTTTACAGAAAATGTTACATTTTTGTGATTTATATCGTTATCGGACGATAGATGTCTTATATCGGGTTATGAGATTCTGGACATACCGCACAGCCCTTGTCCAGAGCCAGCATTTACAGGGAGGCTCCTAATGTTTCATGAAGGATGAAGGAATCTAATCTGTATCAGCTTTGATACAGTACTAACACTCTGCTTTAGGTGTCTCTTGGTACATCTGACTGATAAGATGGGAATTTAAATTCCAATAATATACAAATATATACTTCTAAGGATATAAATAAAAATGGAATAGCAGCAAATCAGTGCACCTATTTATGTAGATATGGTCAAGATGACCAGTGTGTAAAAATCCAACATTGTTTGTAATTTCAGCTCACGTTTGAACAAAAAGACAGAAGCTGAAAGATGAGCGGCTCTGTTGACCTGAGAAGGCTGTGCAGGTTTTATCATTTTATGTGAGTTTTGTCAGTGAACGAGTACAATTTTTCAATTAAAACCGTGAAAAGTTTGCATTTATTGGTTAGTGGAGAGAGACCGGGGTTTGAGCACATGCAGCACAGGGCCACTGATCAGACTCGCACCGCTGCGTTTCAGCCATGTGGTCGCCTGCTCACCCACTGAGCTAAACTGGCACACACATAAGAAAGGGTTGTTTGTTTTTTCATTTTTCTGTTCATGTTTTATCCTCTTTCTTCTGCTGTTTGTTAAACTGTTACCCATCTACTCCTCTTTCAGGTCTATTTATGATGACCAACCCAATGCCCACAAGCGCTTCATGGAAAAGCTTGATGCCAGGATCAGGAATCATGACCGTGAGATTGAAAAGATGTGCAATTTTCACCACCAAGGGTTTGTGGATGCCATCACAGAGCTCCTCAAAGTCCGTGCTGATGCAGAAAAACTGATGGTAAGAGAGATTACATTAAACATAACTAGCGACACCTAGAGGTGATAGTAAGAGAGTTCGCTTTTATTATACATTGGCTTTTTAATTTAACAGTGGGTGTGTGAACTCCTGCATTGTGAAGAAGAGAAAATTACAGCAGGATTTTTTGGGATTATTGGTAATCTGACAGTGCTCAATGATCTGAATCATAAACCTTCCTACTGGATTCAGTGAAGCTGTGATCACAAATGCCTCAGCACAGTCTGTGACTTCAGATCCAGGCTAACGTTCCCAGTTCTTTCTTGGATTTCATTTAGAAAATTCTGACCAACGTGATGGTTTGGTTCGGAGTTATTTATTGTCACATGCGAAAGTTGAGGCTCTGGTGTGAAATTTATGGTTTTCAGGGTTTTTATCGGTTCTATGATTATTTTTATCGTTTTTATCGTTAACTCTGTTTCTCTGGGTCTTTTCCTGTGTGTTATGAATAAATCTTTTTTTTTTTGGTACCAGTCCTGGTTTTATTTTGTTGTATTTATCTGCGACACCTTAAAGGCCGGCCTGTGGAAATATTGTCGGACATAAACTGGTCCGTGGCGCAAAAAGGTTGGAGAGCTCTGGTCTAATCAAGTTTTTCAATTTTAAAGTTTCGGTTTTGATAAACAGCCAGCTCTGGCCTAGCCCTTTTATGTTTTTGCTACCTGCAGGCTCATCCCACTGATAGTCAGACTTGAAAGGCACTATCTTGGACTGCAGCTGGGAACAGTAGTCCCTGTATTGCTTTATGTGTAAAAGCTGGGAGCTGCAGCACACTGCAAATAACATGCTGAGCTCACTGAGGCTGCAGTCCCAGGCAGGTAAGTTGAAGTCCGTCTTTGGGACGGCTTACCTCTAAACTTTCGTCTCACTCTTAGGTTTACCAGGTGTTTCTGGCCCAGGAGACCCAAGCTCTGTTCCAAAAGCCATCCTCCTTGTTGGCTGTAACTGTCAATGTCTCTATTTTTCACCTGTTTCTTTGCTGCCAAATATCACACACTGCATATAAGGAATGGCTGTAGATTGCTACATGTAGTAGGGGTGGAGGAAAAAATCGATACTGTGTAGTATCGTGATATTTTGTTTGCTAATAATGTATCGATACAGCGACAGCAGAAATCGATATTTTGTTACAAAAAAGGTTTTTGTGCTCTGACTTCAGAGCACGTTGATCCTTTTTCTGAGCAAGAATCCTGACACTGTCCAAATGTGTTTAACTGTTTTTTGGCAGCAATAAACATGACAGTTTACTTATTTTAATTTAAGACATGTTTTATTTTAATTACGTTTAAAACTTTTTTATTTAATGTAAAATTATATTTTGTTTTAATTTACTTTCAAATTCTTCAGTTGCTGAAGGGGCTCCATAGTTTTCATAAATTGCATAGTTCAGAATAGCTGTAATTGTACCAGATGCATTCAGTTAAGTTGGACTAGACTGTAATACAAACCGTTCAGTTTGTCAACAATAAAACTGAAATGAGAGAAAGACTGAGTGCGAGACTTTGATATTAGATAAAATGAATATTGATAAAGTTTACCTTTATGTACAGAATCTGAATATCGCAAAATATTTTAAAAATTGCAATAATATCGTATCGTGGGATGTATGGTGATTCCCACTTCTAACATGTAGTGAGGTCACCTACTTTTTGTGGACTCTGCATTTAAGACTCAACATTAGACTTTTGGCCACATTAGTCATGTCATGGTATCATGTTAGTTTTGGAGCTAGTGAGCATATTTAGAGGTGGTGCTGTGCTCCGTTATCAGCTAAGGTTAGTGAGCTGCATTCCCAAACTGTATGGGTGCAAAGCACAGACACATATCTGCTAATTAATACAAAGTAACAGACTAAAATATCAGAATTTCACTTATCCACACCAAATCAACATCTTGGGCAGTCTTTACCATACAACAAGACAACAAAGCATACATATTTATATTTGTGTGTTGGTGTGTGTTTCAATTAATTATTCATATATTACTAAATAATACAACACAAAATTATACAGGGCATTGTTGGGATGCTACTATGGAAGTAATCCCTGAAGATGGAGTTGCATAAAGAGGATGTGGGACCTATGGATACATCGAAACCCAAAATCTGGACTAACCGCAAAACAGCTAGTAGCTCAGTGTTTCAACATCCTTAAGAAGCAACTGCTAACACAACTAGAGATTTAGGAAGGACGGCACAAATGCTACGGCAAAGGGGAGCCAGGACATCAGGTCAGGGAGGAGATAGCATCTCTACACTCTCAGATTCCCTCCTAAGAAGTACAGTAAGTTGGACATACCTGAGGCCTTGGAAACTGCCAAGCAAAGACTCGCAGTATCTCATTGGCAGGGGAACAATATGAGAACAGCCCTACCAAAGCTGGAGTCAGAGCAATACTGGAGGATTATATGGGACAAGGATGCAACACACATATGGTTGGTGGAGCTAAGAGCAAACTCCAGTAACCTCCCTGAACAGGCCTCAGTTACCATCGCACTGTCAGACATCTAAGAAAGTCTCAAGTATGAAGAGTTGGACAGCATCAATTCCTGATATGAGTCATGTCAGGAAATTGGCTAAAGAAGCTAACTGCTCTCCATGAGTGTCGCACAAATGAACTAGCTACTAAAAGATTAGACACACCAAGGATGGCTAATTGAAGACTGGACAGTCGTGATCACCCAAGGATCTTCAGAAGGGACCCATCCAACTACCGGTCAATGACCTTCCTCAGACCCAAAACATGAAAGCTCCTATCAGTCATCATAGCAGCTAAGACAAACAGGCACATGGTTCAAAACATGAGCAGGACCCGGAAGGGAATAAGCAGAAACACTGAATGGGGCCAAACACCAGTCATTCAAGACTGACAAACTGAAGAACCTGAGCACTGCCTTGATTGATTATAAGAAAGCATACAACTCAGTGCATCACACATGGATCCTGGAATGCCTAGAACTTCATCAGCAATTCAATGGGGGCAACTTCAAGCCAGTTACACAATCAGCATGAAGTGCAGGATTATTCAAAGAGATGAACCCTCTCAGCCAGGACATCAACAAGACTACGAAATAGAGGAAATGCTAGCTATCTCCCACTCATCACATGGATGACATCAAGCTATATGCCAGGAGTGAATGAGGCATTCACTTGTTCATTCATATCACTAGGACCTACAGCAATGACTTTGAAATGTCATTCAGCTGAATGGGAAGAAAAAGATCCAGACAGTCAACACCTGCTGGTTGTCAGATACCTGGTGGGATAATCAAGTGGCCACAGGAATAGGAATAGACGGGCGATCGTGGCTCAAGAGTTGGGAGTTCGCCTTGTAATCGGAAGGTTGCCGGTTCGACCCCCGTCTCGGACAGTCTCGGTCGTTGTGTCCTTGGGCAAGACGCTTCACTCGTTGCCTACTGGTGGTGGTCAGAGGGCCCGGTGGCGCCAGTGTCCGGCAGCCTCGCCTCTGTCAGTGCGCCCCAGGGTGGCTGTGGCTACAATGTAGCTGCCATCACCAGTGTGTGAATGTGTGTGTGAATGGGTGGATGACTGAATGTGTAAAGCGCTAGAATTGAAAGGTTTGTCACTGAATCTGTGAGAAAGACACTGTCACAAGCCATTAAACTCCGTGAAAGGCCCAGTGCACAGTCGATAGGCTCAGTTCTCCACGGCCTGGTTAATGGACATGGACAATGAGCTGATTACAAGGCTGAGCAGCTGTAGAAAGGGAAAAGAGAGGGCACGAAGAGATGAGCAGAATAGACATGCAACACCAAGTATGCCAGAACCAACACTGAAGTATTCATAAAATGCATATTGAATATATCACCAATTTTCTAGGTAAATGTATTTCTACAGGTGGTATTGGTGTTAGATTCTCACAGGATGTCAGTAAAAAGCCATCCAATCCACTCATGCAAAGAAATCAATCAACAGATGTCCATAAATGATGTGTAATAATGAGAAATGACACGAGGAGAAAGTATTAAAAACGCTTACTACAATTTGTTGAATACTTTGTACAAAAGCCTTTGTTGGTCAGAATGATTCTGCACAGTCTTAAAATCCTGAATGCTTCGTGGGCCCCTTCTATGAACTTTCATCTTCATCATCCTCGTAGATGACAGCAGATATTTATCAAGAATGTCTTGGTACATTTTTCCATTCATCCTTCCTGCAATTATTTGAAATGTCCCAGTGCCGTACACAGAAAAACAGTCCCACGCCATGATGTTCCCGCCTCCAACCTCACTGTTGGTATGGTGTTTTTGGGGTGAGGCTGTTTGACCTCCATACATGGTGTGTATTATGGCTATTATAGAGGTATGTATGCTCATCTTGAGGAAGGAAGCATGTCACCCAGTGTAGCTCCCCAGAGTTTGTGTACAGAGGAGCTCTTTTAAACATGATGGATTATGTGGAATTATAAAATCTTGTGGAAGATCAATGGTAAAATGATTTAAAGTTATGTAAATTATTAAACTTGTGTCTTTTTTCCAAAGGGTCAAGTGACAGACACTAATCGAAGACTACAAGATGCAGGCAGGGAGGTACGTCCATGCTGTTCCCCTGTGAAGAAATCTGCATGTACATTTACTGCAAAGAGAGTTCCCTATAAGACATGACTGTACTTAATCCCAGTGGTGCCCTCTTTTTCACTGTCTCCAACACTGCGTTCTCTCCCACAGGTGACAGCTCAGACAGAGGAGGTGATTCGCTGTCGGGTCCAGCAGAGGAACATGGCGACCACTGTGGAGAAACTCCAACTCTGTATACCAGGTACTAATGCTGCCTCTGCTTCAGTGAGAAAGATTTTGTTGTTCAGTTTTGAACAGTGTTATCCAGCTGGCTGACCTCAGGAGTCTTTATATATATATATATATTAGGGGTGCAACGATACACAAAATTCACGGTTCGGTTCGATACTTTGGTGTCACGGTTCGATATTTTTTCGATACAAAAAAAAATGTTCATGCCTTTTTAATTTGTCATTTATTAAAATTATAAATATATATTTTAACTCAAAAGTACAGTTTTTAAATTTAACCCTAACCCTTGTGCGCGTTTTTTATTTGACAGCGAATGCGCACCTGCGGACACTTATGTGCAGCCCTGGTTATTTAGCTCGTCATATTGCAGCCACAGAAATAATTTTGTCCATGAAACCATAAAGCTGCACTTTCTTTTTGCCTTATAGTCTGATTTGTCATAACTTCTCCGTTTTGTGGTAAGCTTTTCTTTGGCTGTCACTTCTTCACCCTGACCTGTCTTATTTGGCTCAGCAGAACTAAAATATATATCCTGCTGCTTTTACACACGCACTCACATAAGCTCAGCGATTCTCTGCGCGATCAACCTCTCACATGTTTAAGCTGCGGGAGATTTCACTTGTCATTTTTGCATAGTAAGCTAACGATTAATAAGACGATGTCAGAGGAATTGGTGCACAAATTATCATCACTCACAGATCAGTGCTGTCGCTGTCTATACACAGTTCGCACGATTGCAAAGTGAAAGCAAAAAAACAAGCGCAAATTCAAACGCGATTTCAATATGTCACATATTGACAGTGGCTCACCGATGCCAATGACATAATTACCCAGCTACATTTCTGAAAGAATGCAAAAGCATTGACATATATTTTTCCTTCCTACAATAGCCCGACGGGCAGGGAAGAGATAGATTTTGGTAGCCCGACTGAAAAAAATCGCTAGCCCCAGGACGTCGGGCTAGCGATATTGCGAGCCCAGTATCTGATTGAGGAATCACTCATCTTTGGAAAAGAGAGTTTATTACAGAGAAATGTCTCTTTCCAAAATAAAAGCTATACTATCCGCTTCTTCTGGGCTATATTCTCAGCAGCATAAGGAGAATCATGTGCTAACAGCTGTCTAAATGACTCGGCTAAAGTTAGTAGCATGCTTGCTTGTTTTTGTCTGCTTCCACTTGTCTTTGCACTAGGATGATGTCGGTGTAAATGTGCAGTCATATTCGTTGTGTTCCCACTAGTGCTTTCAGGTTAATCTCGTTGAAATGACCTTAACGCCACAACACGGCAAATCTCCGTTAACGAGCTACCGCCGATCGCCCCGTGCATGGGGCTAGACGGCCAACACGTTAACGAGCTAACTGCGCTAACACACTAGCTCCCACCCATGTAATTGAGCATTGCGTGGCACATCCAACATACTGTTTTACTTTAGTCCATGACTCGCTTACCTTCAGGGTCATACGTCACATGAAAACCAAAATAATTCCAAACGCCAGATCTGAATGAGGGTGGGGGAGGTCCAAGTTGCAAGGAGAGCTTAACTTCTGTCTCGCTAGCTTGCCCTGCGCTCTTCCTTCTGACGATGCTGTCTGTGTTGAGCGCTCAGTGGATCTGCGCTCGACAGTGCAGCCTAGGCGGAGTAGTCGAACGCAGATTCACTGAGCGCTCAACACAGACAGCATCGTCAGAAGGAAAGTTGATAAAATAAATTACAAATGTTGTATTGTTCGATACATATGCGTACCGAACCGAAAGCACTGTATCGAACGGTTCAATATCGATACGAATATCGTTGCACCCCTAATATATATATATATATATATATATATACATCATAGTTTGAGTATGAGCTGTCACAACACTGTTTCCACTGCTACATGTGATTCCTTATATAAAGGAATGGAGATGTGGCATGATGCAGACTGGATGCAGATTGAATGAAGACTGGATGCAGATTGAATGCAGACTGAATGCAGACTGAATGCAGATTGAATGCAGACTGCATGCAGATTGAATGCAGACTGCATGCAGATTGAATGCAGACTGAATGCAGATTGAATGCAGACTGAATGCAGACTGGTTGCAGATTGAATGCAGACTGGATGCAGATTGGATGCAGACTGGATGCAGATTAAATGCAGACTGGATGCATATTGAATGCAGGCTGGATGCAGATTGAATGCAGTGAATGCAGACTGGATGCAGACTGGATGCAGATTGAATGCAGACTGGATGCAGACTGGATGCATATTGAATGCAGTGAATGCAGATTGAATGCAGACTGGATGCAGATTGAATGCAGACTGGATGCAGTGAATGCAGACTGGATGCAGTGAATGCAGACTGGATGCAGTGAATGCAGACTGGATGCAGATTGAATGCAGACTGGATGCAGACTGAATGCAGATTGGATGCAGACTAGATGCAGATTGAATGCAGACTGAATGCAGACTGGTTGCAGATTGAATGCAGACTGGATGCAGACTGAATTCAGACTGGATGCAGATTGAATGCAGACTGGATGCAGATTGAATGCAGACTGAATGCAGACTGGTTGCAGATTGAATGCAGACTGGATGCAGACTGAATGCAGACTGGATGCAGACTGAATGCAGACTGGATGCAGATTGAATGCAGACTGGATGCAGATTGAATGCAGACTGGTTGCAGATTGAATGCAGACTGGATGCAGATTGAATGCAGACTGGATGCAGACTGAATGCAGACTGGATGCAGATTGAATGCAGGCTGAATGCAGACTGGATGCAGACTGAATGCAGACTGGATGCAGATTGAATGCAGACTGGATGCAGATTGAATGCAGACTGGTTGCAGATTGAATGCAGACTGGATGCAGACTGAATGCAGACTGGATGCAGATTGAATGCAGGCTGAATGCAGATTGAATGCAGATTGAATGCAGACTGAATGCAGACTGGTTGCAGATTGAATGCAGACTGGATGCAGACTGAATGCAGACTGGATGCAGATTGAATGCAGGCTGAATGCAGATTGAATGCAGACTGAATGCAGACTGGTTGCAGATTGAATGCAGACTGGATGCAGACTGAATGCAGATTGAATGCAGACTGATGCAGACTGGATGCAGATTGAATGCAGACTGGATGCAGATTGAATGCAGTGAATGCAGACTGGATGCAGATTGAATGCAGACTGGATGCAGATTGAATACAGACTGGATGCAGATTGAATGCAGACTGGATGTAGTGAATGCAGACTGGATGCAGACTGGATGCAGATTGCATAAGCCTGCTGGTTTAGATTTTGTCTTTAATAACATGCATGCAATGTTAGAATAATATAGGTCAGTGCACATTCCATGAATACGCGGTTGTTTTTTGTGCAGGATAAAATATTTATATCCAAATATTAGTGAATGAGTTCAGTGAACATCTACCAAAAACATTTAGAATCAACTCAGGCTGCTTATTGCTTGTTGAAGCTATTGATTATTTTAGTAATTGCATAATCTATTGATTATTCTATCGATTAATCAAGTAATCAGATAAGAAATACTTTTCTCTCATTAATGAGTCATGTTGTGAACTTTAACTACATACATCATCTGTCAAAGTCAATAATATGAGATATATATGAAACCTAAACCAAGGCATAAACTCTGAGTGTTAGTGGCCCATTTACATTTCTCTTGGCTTGTAAAAATGCTTTTATTTTTAAATATTAATGCTGTTAATTAAAACAAAATATTTCAAATTCAATCTGAAAAATATTATGGAAGTCTTAAAATGAACATGGTCTAGTACCCCCCATGCCCCCCTTTAGACTCACCCCTGTTCGCTGCAGGTATCACTTCCATGTAAAATACCGTTCGTTAGCTTATGCAGCAAGCTGTAACATTTAAACTTGGTGTCAGACTAAGTAATCAGTTCATCTGCATATTTTAATTCAACTTCTGGAGGATTACTGCAGATTTTTCTCTATGTAAAAGGGTTTATTTGTACGCTGCTTCTAAAAACGTTTGTTTTGCAGGTCTGTTTTCAGTTCTGTGGTGACAGTGGCACGCTACAGAGCTGTGCGTTAAACGAAGCATCAAAGCAAAGAATTGTGTCAAGAAATTTTTATAATCATATAATTATTTAAATTACTCGATGAATTGTTGCAGCCCTAGTTCAGTTACATTTGATCCTCTGAAAATGAGAGAATATAGATAAAAATGGCTTTAACTCATAAGCAGTTAATTCAATACTTAGTTTTAGACTTCTTGAAGTAAAGCTAAAAATCTGCACTTCAGTCACATCTGTAGTTTATAATCCACTGTGGTGAGTTTTGTAAAATTCCTCACTGACTCTTTATCAGTGTGTGGATACTGAGTCAGTTTGTTTAGACTTTAATCTTGCGTCCTGTGACTGCCTCCAGCCTTCCCAGCGTCATAAGCTGAAGAAGCTGATTATAACCTTAGTTTTTGGGTATCAAGTAAAAATTATTTATGCATGCTTTTATCTGGCATGTGTAATATTGGAACTTGTATAGCACCTAAGCTGCTGCAACAGTGATGCATCAGTGTGGAGGTCTGCAGTGCAGTGGAGCCTACTGGTAACTAAACATGTTATCACTGTAAATGTGATGTGTGATGAGCAAAACTGACTGAAATGTGTGAACTATCAAACTAATCCTGCTTCCTGTCATTGCTCCCTTTGCAGTGCTAGAAATGTACAGCAAGTTAAAGGAGCAGCTGGAATCCAAAAGGTAACCATCATAAAGCATTTCACCACAGTGTGACCTTGTTTACAGTTTTAAGTCTTTCTTTGGCAATAAAATCACAAGTAGAGAGCGATAAATACAATCAACTCGATACATCATGGTCCAATCATTTAAACACAGCTGTGTGTTGTAGTTTCACCTGATGTGTCACTGGTAAAGATAAATAAATAAAGATAAAGACATGTCAGAAAAAGATGTTATCAATGCAGGATGTAGTAGTTCCTTTTTGTTAGCAGCCTGTCAGAGCACAGGGTGTACACACCTGCTGTGGGTTAGAGGTGGACTGACGTCTCAGTTATGGTCAGACGGGGACATCGTGGTGCGTCAGCTTTTATGTTACCAGCAGAGACCCTGTGACAGTGACATATGATCACATGACATGCTAACTGGTTAAAACTGGGCTGCCAAGATGTAGGAAATAGTCAGCTTTACATTCATTCTTGCATACGTAGTGACAGTGTGGCCTGGAATAAGTTGAGAGTTTATAAAGACTCCCAAAAGTTGAGTTTGTTATCATAAATCAATCTGGGAAGCCTTAAAACTGTAACAAGTTAGCTAGCTTGTAACTGTGACCTTCTTGCCAGCAAATTAAACATGTGATTATCGACTGATTAATTGACATGTTGTTGTATTTGCATTCCTTTTCTCTCTCTGTCACTTCCTGTCTGCGACACCCTGCCAACACCATGCCAAAACCAAGCCTGAACCTTCCAAAATAAGATTCAGGAAGTCATCCTTTATTGTTAATTCTAACATTTCTAATTTCTCTTTCCAGTTTAAAATCTCACCGACTTTTCAGCTCATGTTCTGCTAGCTTGTCTAAACTTTACAAGCCTGTCTCTGTAAAGAGGGGAGGGGTGTTCACTTTGGACAGGAAATATTGACCCTTTCTTGTTCATTACCATGTACCAATTAAGAGACTGGAAGGAAGTGCCCTTGCTCACAGGAAGGCCCCCTTGCTGCTGCTCTGTCACGGCTTAGCAGGGGTGGGTTTAAAAAAAGATTTCCTGATTCAAACGATTTTAATTTGCTGCACCCGACGGCACGTACGCACACACGCCATCAGTGCTGAAAGCTGTCGTCCTGGCACTTTCTCCTTCCTCCTGACAGCGTTTACAGTTGATGAGTGTCTTCTGTTCATTTGTGTACAATACCGTTTGAACCACCAATTAGATCCATTAGATCAATTAGATCATGCTTATCAGCATCATGATGGGAGCTCAGCACGCTGACCGTTCACTGAACTCTTGTCATTTGTGCCCAGAATTAAAAAAACACAAATACTTTGTGGTTACAGAATAGACAATAAAAAGAAAATACCAAATATAGATGTACAGTGTATGTACATGCAGATATAGGTCATACTTTGTTGTTATTTATTATTTACTATCATTATATTGGGATGGGTGTTTCCCTCAGACATTTACTGTTGGCCCTGGGCTCAGTGGAGGGGTTACAGTGGGGCAAAAAGTATTTAGTCAGCCACCGATTGTGCAAGTTCCCCACCTAAAATGATGACAGAGGTCAGTAATTTGCACCAGAGGTACACGTCAACTGTGAGAGACAGAATGTGAAAAAAAAATCCATGAATCCACATGGTAGGATTTGTAAAGAATTTATTGGTAAATCAGGGTGGAAAATAAGTATTTGGTCAATAACAAAAATACAACTCAATACTTTGTAACATAACCTTTGTTGGCAATAACAGAGGTCAAACGTTTACTATAGGTCTTTACCAGGTTTGCACACACAGTAGCTGGTATTTTGGCCCATTCCTCCATGCAGATCTTCTCGAGAGCAGTGATGTTTTGGGGCTGTCGCCGAGCAACACGGACTTTCAACTCCCGCCACAGATTTTCTATGGGGTTGAGGTCTGGAGACTGGCTAGGCCACTCCAGGACTTTCAAATGCTTCTTACGGAGCCACTCCTTTGTTGCCCGGGCGGTGTGTTTTGGATCATTGTCATGTTGGAAGACCCAGCCTGGTTTCATCTTCAAAGTTCTCACTGATGGAAGGAGGTTTTGGCTCAAAATCTCACGATACATGGCCCCATTCATTCTGTCCTTAACACGGATCAGTCGTCCTGTCCCTTGGCAGAAAAACAGCCCCATAGCATGATGTTTCCACCCCATGCTTCACAGTAGGTATGGTGTTCTTGGGATGCAACTCAGTATTCTTCTTCCTCCAAACACGACGAGTTGAGTTTATACCAAAAAGTTCTACTTTGGTTTCATCTGACCACATGACATTCTCCCAATCCTCTGCTGTATCATCCATGTGCTCTCTGGCAAACTTCAGACGGGCCTGGACATGCACTGGCTTCAGCAGCGGAACACGTCTGGCACTGCGGGATTTGATTCCCTGCCGTTGTAGTGTGTTACTGATGGTGACCTTTGTTACTTTGGTCCCAGCTCTCTGCAGGTCATTCACCAGGTCCCCCGTGTGGTTCTGGGATCTTTGCTCACCGTTCTCATGATCATTTTGACCCCACGGGATGAGATCTTGCGTGGAGCCCCAGATGGAGGGAGATTATCAGTGGTCTTGTATGTCTTCCATTTTCTGATGATTGCTCCCACAGTTGATTTTTTCACACCAAGCTGCTTGCCTATTGTAGATTCACTCTTCCCAGTCTGGTGCAGGTCTACAATACTTTTCCTGGTGTCCTTCGAAAGCTCTTTGGTCTTGGCCATGGCGGAGTTTGGAGTCTGACTGTTTGAGGCTGTGGACAGGTGTCTTTTATACAGATGATGAGTTCAAACAGGTGCCATTCATACAGGTAACGAGTGGGGGACAGAAAAGCTTCTTACAGAAGACGTTACAGGTCTGTGAGACCCAGAGATTTTCCTTGTTTGAGGTGACCAAATACTTATTTTCCACCCTGATTTACCAATAAATTCTTTACAAATCCTACCATGTGGATTCATGGATTTTTTTTTCACATTCTGTCTCTCACAGTTGAAGTGTACCTCTGGTGCAAATTACTGACCTCTGTCATCATTTGAAGTGGGGGAACTTGCACAATCGGTGGCTGACTAAATACTTTTTGCCCCACTGTATATAGTTCAGATGGCCTGAAAGCACCGGGGGTCCCCCAGGTGTAGCTGGAGGATCTGAGGCTTTCTTACTGTGTATTCATTTGACAACAGAAACAGTGTTTTCTTAGTTTAATCATTCCTTGTGTTGCTACTAAGTTCCTAAGTCCATTTGAAGATTTAATGTTAAATGGTTCTAATAAGTAGCAGTAGTTCGGAGTTGTTATTACTAATGCTGTGCTGTTTACGTCTACAGATATTATGCCGCACTAAAAACCATGGAGCAGTTAGAGAAGGTCTATATCCCAAGGTAGGATCAGACGAAGGCTGCTGAAAGAATGTCACAGTAATGTTGGCTCGACATGAGAAGCTAACAGGTGTCAGACTGTTAGTCTGCCAGCTGTTGCACTGCACTGCTTTTTAAAATGTATTTCTTTATTGATTTTTTGAATGAATGTTGGATCGGACTGCTTTTCTTTTTTCATAGTTCTGATGTATCCCTTGCAGGGTCAGTCAGTACAGGTTCTGTCAGATCATGGCTGAAAATCTGCCCAGACTGAGAGAGGAGATCAAAGACATCTCCATGTCAGACCTCAAAGACTTCCTGGAGAGCATTCGAAAGCATTCAGACAAGGTTGGAGAGACTGCCATGAGACAGGTATAGAGCTTTTTCCTTTTTAAATAATTCAGGTCATAGCAGGGAAAAAGAAGTCAAATTGCTGACGTGTGTGTTTTTGTCTTCAGGCACAGCAGCATAGGACCTTTAACAGTGCAGTAGCCAAGCAGGCCAGTATGGGCCACTACATCAAGCCCGTGTACTCTCTCAATGAGCGAACTCATGCTCACACTCCCAACGGCCTGCTGATGGATGATGACACTGGAGATGATGAGGCTGATGAAGAGGTGAGATAAGACGTGTGTGTAGCTGACGTGGCGGTGATGATCAGATACTGATGTCTTTTAAAGAACCATGGCTGACAGCATAAAGATACAAAATTAACTTTTTTCCAATGCAAATCTTTTTTTTTCATAAAAGAAGAGATTATGAAAGTTTCCACTGTTACAGGATCGTCTTTTCCTTAAACGACTGAAAGTAAAGTGCTTTGCTTCTGGACAGAGATACAAATAATAAACTTGAGTACGTCCACCTTTACTTACCAAATAAAAGCAGATTCATCTAACAAAACAAACTCAGGTACATGTATATACTTATATAATTTTTAAATTCAGCAGGTAACAGTGCATCGACCCTCTTTTTTTTTTACTGTTAATTTTCCTTCGTACTGCTGTGATGTGCAGCTCTGCTCCATGTGAGGCTAACCCACAGGTGAACGCCTGAGATTCTGCTGCCTGGCTGCTCAATCGTTCTTCCTTCTTCTCTAGTTTTCTGTTATTATATTTTCATCAGACATAACAAATGTGCAGGTGGATGTTAGTCAGTCATTAGTTACAGAGTGATCCATTTGTCATGCTGCATAATCAGGAATTCTGTAACTAAGTTTCTATAATTACATAAGACAGTTTTGTAAGCAGGTCACCTGCTAAGGTTCGTGGTTCGATCCCTGGCTGCTCAAGTCTGCGTGCCATAATGATTCCCAGTTGCTCTCCAATGCATCCATCAGAGTATGAATGTATGTGAAGCTCTATGTTAAATAGAAAGCACATAGCAAAACGTGCTTCTGTGAATGGCTGAATGAGGCACTGTGTAAATCACTTTGAGTGCTCAGAGCAGGAACGAGTCCATTTACCATGACCAAATAACCAGCATATGAAGAAGCAGTTAAAAACATTCCATTTGTGTTCTTACAGATTCTTACAGCTCAGGATCTGGTGGACTTCTCGCCCGTCTACAGGTGTCTACACATCTATACTGTGTTGGTAGGTGTCTGTGGCGAAAGCTAATAACTAATGCTATCCATTGGTCTGCCTTATTTCTCTGTTCATTGGATTTTGATTATCTAATGACAGCTATGCTAATTAAGTGGAATCAAGGTTATAGTGCTAACATCCAACGTTACCCCTGAAATACAGCACAGCTGTTTCATGATCAGCTCCAATGCTTGTGATTACATCAGTCTCAGCTCTCCTCTCTGGGTCACCTAAGATCTGTTTATTACCTAAGCCCCATGAAGCCCAGAGCAGGTAAAAAGGACGGGGATTCAGACACAGGAAGGTGAAGTGTGGACCCAAACGCAGACAATGAAGATGAAGGTGGATGTTGAATAGAAAGCGAGCCTTTATTTTAGCGAACACAACAACAAACAAAAGCAAAGGACGACTACATGAAACCTGACAGAACAAAGGAAAACACACGCCATACATACACAGAGGATAATGAGGAAATAGGAAACAGGAGGGGAACGCAGCCGAGACTAATCAGGCATGACGAGACGGGGAGGAGAGCAAAGCTATAAACGCTAACAGGACACGGGACTGTCAAAGTAAAACAGGAAATACATGAACATAGAGACAAGGATGACTGTAGGTAACACAAGGGACCTAACAACAAAACACAACAACTAGAAATCACCAAAACACTAAAGAAGCAAGAAATACAAACTAAAAGCCACCGAGTCTCCAGACCCAGGACCAGGACAGTCTGGGATTTGATAGTACCTGAGTGTTCTGGTTTGTAACATCATGTATCATAGTTAATTGATCTATGTCTGTATTCTGTGTGTGTGCAGGGTGACCGAGAAACATTTGAGAACTACTACAGGAAACAGAGGAAAAAACAGGCCCGGCTAGTTCTGCAGCCGCAGGCTAACATGGTGAGCAACACAAGCGCTTAAACATACGTGTAAAGCATATGAATGAAATTCAGACAAGCGCTCGGGGTTTTTCAGTGGGCCTTTCATTGTGACTACATGGCACTAAACACAGTCTGCCTTGTATTAATTTTTCCTAGAACCTGTGTATTTCTTACTATGACTAAATAGATTACTCACAGATCGTACAGCAGCTGCGATCCAGCTCTGGCAAAGCTTAGAAAACCATGACTGTTACTGTTTTTTCAGGGGGAAATAAACAGCTGTACTTTGTATTTAAAAAGTTATAAAGGATGTTTTAAAGTTTTAGGATAACATCAGGAAAAAGCAAAACAGCCCCAGAGCAAGATGCTACCACCAGCATGCTCGGTGCACAGATAGGCGGCACCATCTCAGTCCATATCTTTACTATGGAGAGTGGTGCTGGTTCATCAGCTTCCAGGTCCCAGCAGGCTTGAGCCTCGGTGGTTCCTGGGATGAAGTCACAAAGCAAAAGCCATGTCAGACAAGAGCTGCAGAAATACAACTTTTAACTTATTTTTTCTCCCTCCTATTTCAATATTTGCCTTACTGGTGACTGTTACGTTTGCATCTGTATTAACATGGCTTTGTGTCTATTTGTGTGTGTTTAGCATGAGACAGTGGAAGGCTACAGAAGATACTTCAATCAGATTGTGGGGTAAGATGTTCCTTTCAAATGCTCATCTGGCTGTTTTGTTTCACTGTGAACCTAAATCTGTGTGTGTGTGTGTGTGTGTGTGTGTGTGTGTGTGTGTGTGTGTGTGTGTGTGTGTGTGTGTGTGTGTGTGTGTGTGTGTGTGTGTGTGTGTGGTCAGGTTCTTTGTTGTAGAGGACCATATCCTCCATGCCACTCAAGGGCTGGTGACCAGAGCTTATACTGATGAACTGTGGAACATGGCGCTGTCCAAGATCATCGCTGTACTCCGGACACACTCTGTAGGAGCACACACCACACACACACACACACACCACACACACACACCACACACACACACACACACCTCTAATGTCTGCAGGGCATTGACTGTGAATGGAAAAGATGCTGTTGAGAGTTAATAGAAATGATAGTTCCTTCATTCAGTGGATGATACACCCCTCACAGGTCAGCACACCCACAAACACACTAATGATGTCACTATTAAGAGCAGAGGTCAAAACACACATACACATGCAGGCAAAGAGGAGGCCATTGTGACCTTAATGAGAGACAGATTGCAACAATAACAGCAGATAAAGAAGGCATATTCCTGCCCGCTGGAGCCCTGTCAGTTGTAAATGACCCCGAGGATTATGCTAACAGGCTGGAGAATAGGCCGCACGGCATGGGTGAGAAGACTAACAAAGACCTGGTGTCCTCTGTGCCCCTCTGCTGTGCTCTGACAAAAGCAAGTCCACATTGTCGGGCTCCTGCACTTACAGCGAGTGCATGGTCAGCTAAAAGTAACAAGGCTGCATCAGATTGTTTAAAAAAAAAGCAAAACTAAGACATGCAGATGATATACTTAATGAGTAAAATTCTCCCAGTGCGGGTTAAATAAATACAATATGCTTTCAATAGACAACAAGTCTGAGTGCTGAGTGTCCAGTCTCAGGCTGTGTTCATATACAGCTGTGCTGCTCTCAGGGTGATAAATCGCCCTACTCTCTGGAAAAACGAGGGCCTTTGTTAATGCACTGGCTTAACTTGTTTGTCATGTAGGCAGACTTCCTATAAAAATATACCTAGTTAAAACTCTACACAGTATACAGTGCAGTTACTTCATATGTATTCAAAGGCCCAAAGTGGATCATGGAGCAGGACGATGATCCTAAGCACATAAGCAAATGTGCTGCAGAGTGTCAGGAAAGAAAAAGAATCTGAAGTGTGCTACGCCTAAACAGAGCTCAGTGAACTGAAACAATGTTGTCAACATGAGAACTTCTCACAATTACAAGTTCAGTTACTGCTAAAGGTGGTCGGACACGCTTTTGAATGACAGGGTGCTCAGTTTTCAGAGGACTGCAAAGACTCACATGAACATAGATTTAGGAAGCAAAGCAGGTAATGCGACGTTAGACCAGTGTGTGGTGATGACTCTCTTTCTGCAGTCATACTGTGACGACCCAGACTTGGTGCTGGAGCTGAAGAATCTCATAGTCATCTTTGCTGACACACTACAGGTTGGTTAAGAGTGGGACTTGACTTGTTTGTGACTCTGCCGTGTGAAAACGTGTTTTCTGACTGTGTGATGTTTGTGCAGGGGTTCGGCTTCCCGGTAAACCGTTTGTTTGACCTGCTGTTTGAGGTTAGAGACCAGTACAACGAAACCCTGCTGAAGAAATGGGCACTGGTTTTCAGGTGGGCTTCACTCACGTGTGGCGTCTGCCACAGTAGGACGTGCAGAAACACAAATGACAATTTGACAATAACAATTGTGTTTGCGGTAAGGCTTTCTGCTGTGACATCCCCGTCTGTATGCAGCCTGCATATTTTGTTTGAACAAAGCAGAGCAGCTAAAAACACACAACTAAAACCAGAATCAGCTTTGTTCGTACTGTTTCAGCAAAGCATCAGCACCGTGTGAGGGAAGTTGTTCTTTTTTCACATCATTGATGCTGAAAATGGCACTGAGACGACATTAAACTGAACTGAACAAACAGTGGAGACCAAAGATAACTCTGATCTGTGTTCCCATAGAGAGATCTTTGAACTGGACAACTACAGTCCCATCCCAGTGGAGACAGAGGAGGAATATAAACTGGTTGTCAGCCGCTTTCCCTTCCACGATGCTGAGATAGAGAAGGTAATGTGTTCAAGTACCACCGTCTCCCCAATCTGGCACGGTTGCATCCACGTAAAAGAAAGATTTCCTAAAAGACAACTAGTGTTGGATGAATATTAATACAGTTTTTCTGTGTGCATAAGCAGCAGGACTTTCCTAAGAAGCTGCCAATGTCCCAGTCTGTCCCTCAGATCTACACCCAGGTCAAAGAGTTCATTTACGCCAGCCTCAAGTTCTCCGAGTCACTACACCGCAGGTACACTACTCTGTGTTCACTCGCCACACGAACACTTATACATATCTAATCTCCCCGGACTGCCGTCTCTTCACTTTGCAACTGTCAAGTTTGTTGTGTGTCCAGTTCAACAGAGATTGATGACATGTTGCGAAAATCTACCAACCTGTTGCTGACAAGAACTCTCAGCAGTTGTCTGCAAAACCTTATCAAGAAACCTCACATAGGACTGACCGAGGTTAGAACTGCTCACACACACACAGTCGTGAAAAGCATTCAGGATTCAGGCTACAACTGTAACCTTGTCTCTGTAGCTGGTACAGATCATCATTAATACCACCCACCTGGAGCAGGCCTGCAGGTATCTGGAGGAATTCATAACAAACATCACCAACGTCTCCCCAGAAACAGTTCACACCACAAGACTCTACGGACTGTCGACCTTCAAGGTGATTTGTGCCTTTAGCAGTCACCTTCTTCATACCTCGGTTGTGATGAGTTTACTGTTAGCTTTCTTACCTCTGAGCAGTCTGGCCATTCTTTTCTGACTTCTTGCATTTTCATCCGGTGAACAGATTCACTTTTTAGTCTAGAAACTGATATAAGAGAATCCCAGTAAATCAGCAGTTATTGAGACAAGGCCAGCCACGTTCAGAAACACCTTTGTTCATCGTTCTGATGCTCAGTTCTTCAGCAGGTCGTCTCTGCTTCCATCCCTGATTACATTCAGTTGCTGCCATGTGATTGGCAGATTAATGAGATGTTAAACGGGTGTACTTAATGAAGTGGCAGAAGTTGAAGATCTGTGTCTCCATTCCAAAAATGAATGCGTGTAGGAAGAACAATAATATTTGCTCCCATTAACTCTTGTGAAAACATTGTTCCAGGATGCTCGTCATGCTGCAGAGGGAGAGATTTATACCAAACTGAACCAGAAGATCGATGAGTTCATCCAGCTAGCAGACTACGAATGGGGCATGGCCGAGTCTGACGGCCGCGCTTCAGGGTATCTCATGGACCTGATCAACTTCCTACGATCTACCTTCCAGGTGTTCACACACCTCCCGGTGAGTGTGAGCCGCCTCCAACCTCTACACGTTAGCTCAGCACCTCTGTCTGGGAGCTGTGGAACATGAACAGTGTGGGGTTGTGTTGTTATTGTCCTTTCTGTTCACACACTAGCTGTATGGCGTGCTGTGAGGTTGATCTTTTGTTGATAATACGAACGCATGATTATTTTTGTTTGTTTGTTTTCCTTCCCTGACTTCCCACCATCACTCTGTTGTTTTTACGCCCTCATAGCATTTCTGTCAGATTGTAGGTGCTGTCTGAAAAAGGTTTATACTGTGGATATCACGTTGAGCTATGTACACGTTGCAGTGCTGATTTCTGCATGATGTGCTGTTACTGGCTTGTGCAATGTTTTTGCAAACTGACATCATCTCCAACCCAACGGAGCACATTAGATAGCAAAGTGTAAAGGATTTGATCAGAAACTGTTATTTGAGCTCACAGCCTGATTGGTCTGTTGGCTGTACCTGCCCTTCTCACCTGCATGTGCGACTATTTCTCCTTATTATCTCCTGCTGTGTCTCCATCCACACCTTCTGTAATGCACAGCTTTGTAACTGAATTTTTACTCCTTGATTAATTTGACATGTCAAGCATGCAAGATATCTCTAGCTGTCCATTTATTGTTGCCACATTTCTTTTCCTGTCCTTTCCCTCTTTCCCTCTCTTCTTCCATTTTTGGTTGGTTGGGGGTTCTCTGCTCAGAATAACAACAATGATCATGCATCAATGTCGGTGAGTATCCCTGCCTGGATTTATAACACTTTGCTGCTAAGCTACAGGCAGAATGGCGATACAATGCATGCTAATGTTTGCCTTCAGAAGTCCCACAACTCTAAGCTTGTGGTTCTGCCATAGACTGAATATAAAAGATTGATGTAGCCACCATGACATCACCTATGAGGTATTCCCATTGTGAGCATTTTGTTTCCATTTTAGCTCTTTGAAACGGGACATTACAGGATAGGCGGACCTTACTGTGGAACAGGGGGACACTGCAGGCTAACTGGCTCAAGACTTGACAAGTCTGCAACTCAGCACTTTTGCTTTGGCTTCACTTTTCAGACATGAAAGCTATCTTTAATATACAATCTGGAACTGTTGCTAATGAAAACATTCACAGACCATAATTACATTCAACTTGAGCAACAGATACTTTTATCTGCGGGAAAGCTGTGAGACCAAGGATGACGTAACATCCACTGCATATGAAAGCTAAGGCCAGAATACTGCAATTCAGCTCACCTTTATTTATACAGCACCAAATCACAACAGCAGATGCCTCAAGATGCTGTACTGTAAAGTAAAGACCCTGCAATCAGTCTTTACCTTGGCAACAATGGAAGGGAAAAACTCCCTTTAACAGGAAGAAACCTCCAGCAGGACCAGGCTCAGGGAGGGCGGCACAGCCGGTTGGGGTTAGGGAGGAAGCACAAAGACAGAGCCAGACATTTATAATAACTAATAATTAAATGAAGAGAGATGTGAGTGAGTGAAAGAGGTGACTGAAGAAGAAGAAAACTACATCATGGAAATCCCAGTTTTTTCATGCAAATTGTTTCGGTGTGTTTCTTGACTCCATTTGCTTTTGAAGCCAAGGTTTCATTTTTATCTCTGCTGTTGAATGTTGAATGTCCTGTTAGCTTTATAAACAGTGGCACAGTGGTTAGCACTGTTGCCTCACAACATCCTGGCCAGGGCCTTTCTGTGTGGAGTTTGTTTATTCTAGTTTTATTTTATTGTCTATTATTCTTATTTGTTTTACTATTATTTAGTTTTCATTATTGTTTAATACCTGTTTTATATTTTCTTGCTGTCTGGAAATAACTTTGGTCAACTACGTTGTGTTTTTTAAACTGCTCTAAAATAGAGTTGTAATGGTTGGAAATTAGAGTCCACTGGGATCTGAGTGCAGGGTGGATATTACCTTCAGTACGGATGCCTGCTTAGAGGAAGGTAGGAAATTAAGAACAACTAAGGTCTCTGCAGCTGTCTGTGAGTTTGTTAGCAAGGGAGCATAATTCAGGCCCATCTGCAAGGTGTAAAAATGTTGTGTTCTGGCCTCACTTCAGTGCTACAGTAAACTACATGTAACTCTGAACTTGATGCCAGTCACTGCTAACCAGGAACACCAGCTGACTGGTGTTTATATAGTGAACCTGGAAACTTCTTTGAGGCCACACCTAGCAGCTACACTCGGCACACTTTACATAAATAAAACTTCTAAACTCCAGGGAATAGATTGTTTTATACTAGCTGTACTATACTTTATGGATCAATTCAAAGTTCGTTCAAAGTTGCATTTCTAACACTTGAAGGAGATTTAACATGAAGCACTTCCAATTTGTTCAAGGTGCCATGTGAAACAAAATCCAGGTACCAGATATTCAAATCAAATCCAAAACAAAAAATCAAATTTATTTATGTAGCACATTTAAAGACCGAAGTACACCAAAGTGCTTTCCAGTAAAACCATGATACAGATAAAATCACAATATAAAATATAAATTACAGATATAAAATAATTACATAATCTAAATGCAGAGCCAGATGTAAATTACCCTAATTAGCCTCGAATGCCAGGTTAAACAAGTACGTTTTTAGACGTGATTTAAAATTCAATAGAATCTGATGCGTGAATGTCGAGAGGAAGATTATTCCATAATTTGGGTGCGGCAATGGCAAAGACACAGCCTCCTCTGGTCTTCAGCCGAGACCAGGTTGCACTAAGAGCAGTTGGCCGATGATCTGAGGCTATACAGACAGAGGAGATCAGTAATCAGGTGCCATATTATTTAGGATTTTATAAGTAAACAATAACATTTTAAAATCAATTCGATATTTAATAGGAAGCCAATGTAAGTTGGCCAGAACAGGAGTGATAGTATCATACTTTCTAGTGCCGGTTAAGAGACTTGCTGTGGCATTTTGGACCAGCTGCAATCGCTGGAGGAGGGAAGATTGGAGGCCAAGTAAAGAGAATTACAATAATCTAGTCTTGAAGTGATGAAAGCATGAATGAGTTTCTCCAGATCTTGTGTGGTATATAAGGTTTAGCCTTAGAAATTTGGCGTAGTTGTGGAAGCTGGTTTTTACCACAGTAGACACCTGTTTATCTAGTTTGAAGGAACTATCCATGAAAACTCCAAGATTCCTAGCAGCATCAGTGAGGTGGTTAGCAACAGGCCCGAGTGTGCCAGTCAGTTGTCTCAGAGGCATATTTCTATCAAAAACAATAATTTCTGTCTTCTTTTCATTTAAAGTAAGAGAGTTACGTGATAACCAGTCTTTCACATCCCTCAGACAATCAACAGAGGATGTAGTGAAGATGAAACATCCCCAGTCAGGTGGAGGTAGATTTGATATCATCAGCATAGCAGTGAAAAGAGACATTATGTTTTTCAAAAATGGAGCCCAAGGGCAGCATGTACAGGAGAACAACACAGGACGAGCACCGAGCCTGGGGCACTCCACAGCAAAGAGGGGCAGAAGAAGAGGAATATTTTCCCATCATGACAGAGAACGACCTCTCAGAGAAATATGATTTAACCATGAGAGAACTTTTCCTTAAGGCCTACTACTTGTTCTAACCTTGCCAAAGAATATCATGGTCAACCGTGTCAAAGGTGACGTCAGATCTAATAGAACTGAGACCGCAGTGCGCCCAGAGTCAGCCGATGAGAAGAAGGTCATTGAAAACTCTTAATAGGGCAGTTTCGGTGCTGTGACCGGTTTAAATCCAGACTGGAATTATCACTTATACCGTTTATCTCTAAATAGGTCTGTATTGCTGAAGCACTATTTCTCTAAAGTTTTTGACATGAAAGGGAGTTAGAAATCAGATCGAATGTTATGATCAAGGCTGCTTTTCTTGGTAACAGGTTGCCAGACTGCATGTTTAAAGACAGTCGGAACACAGCCAGATGACAGTGATGAGTTCATTAAAAATAAGATACAGGACCCGATTGTATTTAATGCATCCTTAATGATACGAGCGGGAATAATGTCATGCAAAGTATTTGAGCTTCTCAGGTTATTAATTATTTCCTTTAAAGTCGAGGATGACACAGGTTCAAACTGTTGAAAAACCGTTGAACATTCGGAAACTGGGGCTTGATTTACTGCTGGGGAATGTGGGGCCCTTAACACTGAGATTTTATCTATAAAATGATTTAGAAATTTTTCGCAGAGGGCCGGGGAGGCACCCATCGAAACATCAGAGCAGGGATTAACCACTGAGTTAAAGATTTTGAACAGAACTCAAGGATTGTGACTATTAGTTGCAATGATGTTCAACAAAAATAAGTTTTTGCCATTTTGGCAGCCTTCTGAAATTTAGATCGGCTCATATGCAGGATGTCAAGGACACCTGAAGTTGATCTTTTTTCCATCTCCTCTCAGCTCGACGACATTCACGCCTAAGAGCGAGGGTGGATTCATTTAGCCAGAGTTGGCGAGAGGTTTTAGGGCGTTTAGTCTTTACTGGAGCCACAGTGTCCAAAGCTGAAGAGCATCTAGAAATGAAAGAATTGACTAGGCCATCAACCAAGAGAGGTGCATTACTGATGTCATCGTAACAGACAGAGTTAGCAAAGGCCGCAGAGAAATGGGCAACAACCTCAGGATTAATCATACGCGATAGGCTCAGTGGACCCTCAGAGTTCAGTTCCATATTGCATAACTGAACATCAAACATAACTGGGAAATGGTCCGAAATCCCAGCATCATTAATGTCCATGATGCAAATATCCAGTCAATACAACAATACCAATGCCGTTCCAGCCGGCGAACATTGCTATAATCCACACCTCCAGAGACCCGCTTCCAGCTCCATACAGGGCACTCAACTGGTAAGACCGAGTGGGCTTGCTGGCCAGCATAGCAGATCCATCGATGATGACACAGTCTAAAAGTATACTGGGAGGGCCGCAAGATGTCCATGATGGAGTGGTAATTAATCACTTCATGTGCTATTCACATATATTGTAAAAGATATTGTGAAATGCACTATTTTATACAGTTAACAACTTACTATCGATGTTCATTTATTGTAAACTTTACATTTATATCCCCCCGTGAATCACTACCTAATTGTGGTGGAGTTGCTCGTGTGTCCTAGGGATCCGATGGTACATTCTCCCTACAAATTGGTCCTGGGTGTGGGACCAGTCAAGAGCGATTCAGAAGACTCTTATGAGTACAACATCAAGGGACATGAGACCACCCTCCTTCTCGGAGTCCCTGGGTGAGGAGCTTGAGATACTCCACCCAGGGACTCTCTCCACATGAGCAGCACGACAACAACAGTGAGACCTGATAGGGTGTGATTGGGAGAAACGGCCTCTCCCACCTAGGGCTGGCCCATAACATACCGTTCACGGTAATACCGGTATAATGTTAGGCAACGATAAGAAAATGAAATATCGCGATAGAATATGGATAAAACGCGCATGTGCAGTGCCTTTGTTTTCATACGCACATGGCAGAAAAAGCATGGCGGCGACGGAGAATGAGAAGGGTGAAAGCGGATCGTTGAGTGAAACAGATGAACCAGAACTGGTTTGTAAAAATGCTGCAACTTCAGTGGTGTGGAACTGGTTTAGCTTTCGTCCGTCAGATACACAACAAAGCACTATTTTGGTAGAGCATGCAAGCGGGCCGTCGTTATTACCGAAACGATTTTATGTGGTACATAAAAATAAAATCTCTCAAAAAATGTTTCAGTACGACTTTGC